TTACTATGACAAAATCCCCTTCCATAATTTTACAATGTATTTTTTACAATGTCTAGTTAAAGTCAGTGGACATCTTGGGATGGACTGATGAACGATCCATAGTCGAGGGACTGCTGTGGTTGGCTCCGGCTGTCACCCCTGACCCTGAAAATGATTAAGTAGCAGAAAATGGAGAGATGGTCAATAGATTCATGGATATTTATCAGCGGCCTCTCTATCATTCTTAGTGATGAACATGTGGTCAGAGTCTTCTTTTCTCTTCTTTTCCGTTTGTTATTGTCGACTTGGGTTTTCTGTTTCTCCCTCGAGATCTGGCAACGCTGGTGAGCAACAGTGTGGAGGGATCTCAGATATATCCTATGGTTTTACAGTTACTAAGGTAAAATGTTAAATAAAATAACACAGTATATCTGTGCCCTACATGTACACTCCAGCCTGGTGAGAGCAGAGCAGGAGTGGATATATGAAGTCACCTCAGTTTCACATTCTATAATACTTTTCTGACATTGAAAATGTATGAGAGTGGCGTGCTGTGTGCTGACCTGGCACTGGCTGTTAGAAAGTTATGCAGCCATTAAAAGCTTGTGTTGGACTTCAGTGTTTCGTTCACGGCTCTCAGATAGAGTTGCAGTCGACGTCCCTGTCTTCTACCAAAGGCTGCACGTCTCTTTTCAAGATTGTCAGTGTGTTTTTGTAGTCATAAGAAACATAATGTGTGTGTGTGTGTGTGTGTGTGTGTGTGTGAGAGAGAGTCCTGAGTTTTTTTTGCCATTGCAGAGGCACAAATGATGTTCATTCAGAAAAATGTGATTATCCACAAGTATATTTTTTCATGTATTATTTTCCCAGGCACACAGAGCATGTCTGTGATCCTCTGAAGCTTTTAGCTTGTAAATATAGTCCATTGTCCAGTATATCACACCTTTCATTGGCGTTCTTCTCCTCTGACCAGCAGACAGTTTGTTTGGTCAGATTTATGTGAGCCTATCTGCAGTCCTTCTCTGTCTCTGTCTCGCTCTTGCTCTAGTGTTTTGTCCTTGTCTATGACTCTGCAACTTTTTGGGCGTCTGATATTTGCTTTTATTTAATCCACTAAACACGACCAGATTCAATACCTTTGTATTAGACCTGCTTCTGTTCAGATTTCTGTTTTTCATTAGAGATTGATTTTTATAAAACCCGACCTTTGTTTCATCCGACCTCAGCCAAATATCAACCATAACATTTTATATTGAAGAAATAGATTTATTTACAATGCAGACGCTCTTTTTTTTTTCAACATAGTTTGCAGTAGAATTTCATACGTCCAGACACGGTTTCTCCACAGGGGCCCAGTGTTTCATCTTCAGTCCATTACAGATTCTTGAGAGATGTGATTAGTTTTGTACACATGGTACGAAGGAGGCAGCTGCTCTGATTCGTCTTCACCTTTGTTGAATATTTTTGGACATTAGTGTGCAATTAACCATTAAGACATCTAGTTTCTCTTAAAAACTTCGCTTCTTTCAAAAGGTTGAACATGTTTTGGAAGTCATGTACACTCAACAAAACTCCAAAAACCTCATACAAAAAAAATATCAAAACCATTTTCTGAAAAGTTAAAATTATCTTATTGGATGGATCTTACAACAACAACACTAACAGTTTTGAGAGAACAAAGTAATTACAGTCATTTTCACATCATTCTGGGGATGGTGCTCTTTCTGCTTTGTCTCTTATCATTTCTGTCTCTTATGATCAACATGATAATAGGCCCTGGATTCTGAAGGAAGAAGGTTTTTTTTTTCCTGTGTGAGAAATAAGCAGCTCTGTCACTCATTAAAGCTGCTGACTGACTCTTTAACTACTGTACACCCAGCCCCGTTATACTGACACGGTACAGGAGCTGGTTTGGTCAGTGTCACGGATCACACTAATGATCAACAAAATTCTCACAGAGAAACCAAATGCTCTTTCCTACTGTGGCACTTTTGTTACAATTAAAACAGTTTCCATCCCTCTGTGAATCACAAAACCCTACACTGCGCTGCAGCGTAATTACTGTATGTGGCATAGTTTGCTTTCACTCCAAAATCCTTGCCCCTTTGCTCAGGAAAATTACACTGAAAACTACACACGCTTGTGTAAAAACTGAAGCTCTTGTTAATTACAGCCCAGTATCACAGAACCAACCAATCAATCAACTGAGCACAGCCTTATGATCGAGTGGAGAAACGACGTCTGCCAAATTTAGCAACCGGCATTCCACATGAGTTGGATTTATTCCTGTTAAGGTAACTGCTACTCTTCATTAATGTTGTCACTTAAACTCTTCTCCACACACTTCAAGCTGCAGCCCATTTCTGTCACTGCATTTCAGCCCAACTTATTTGAGCCAGTGAGCCACTGTGGAACTCAAATAAAGCCTAACTTTACCAATGGCCTCAGTTTGATGCCACTGGTACAGACTTCCCACTGTCAGCTGACAGGGGCAGCTTCCAGATTATGGGCCGAAATGACTTTCAGTAAAATACTTAGTTGTGAAGTATTTTTAACATGTTCTATTGTGTGGAAATCAATTACATTCTATGAGATATTTTAACTCAATGTGTATTAATGTGTATTAAGGGCCAAATAAAGATGTTAAACTAGATAGAAGGCAGAGTATCCTGTACATGACTGGAGGAAAACCACTTTTTTTTCTTAGATGTTGATGGGGTATCACTTGACTGTCCATTACAGAATCCAGTCGTTAAGTTAACAAATCTGAAGAAATAGCTGGTCCAGAAGTGACAGAACAGTGTCTTCATAAACTATGGCTGAAGAAAATCTCTGAATAGAATTGCATTATCTTTGGAAATTATGCATTCAATAAAAAAGAAAAGTAAGTTAACAACACAGCAATGGAGCATTTTATTAAAGCATTTTATATGAAGTCTTTTTTCTTCTGTTCTTCCGCATATCACAACCACATAAATTTATATATTTCTCTTTATAACTTACTTACTCATAGACCCATTACCCCGAGCTCGCTATAAATTCTCTCTAGGACTCTCATCAGAAGAGGATGAGTGTTGTTTTTTTCTTTATGTTATAGTAAATATTTCACAGTTTGCATCAACAGTCCATAACAGATTATTTTCATTAAACTGTCATTTTTATTGCTTAAAGCAGGATTGTAAACAGAAGTACTCTCTCTTTTTTACACTATGTTTACACTGTGATTATATGTTGTTGAGTCTTGGTTCATGTGTGTGTGTGAGAGTGTGTGTGTAGGAGTGTGTTTTTAAAGCTATTCTATATTGATGTGATGGATTGCATTGCACAGGAAATGTCAAAGTAAAGGTAGAGATGCCTTAAAGGTCTTCTCCTGCTGTCGGTTCAGACCCAGAAACCTGTCCTTGATTTTTATGTCGAAGTTATTTACATTCTCAAGATAAAAGGAAAAATCCATTCATGACCTTAGAATTACATGGTTATTTTTCCACACCTTTATCTAATTCTGTATTCATGGATTTGCAGTATGAATGTGAGCCCCACCTGTATTACCTTCCCCAGTTCTGAGTGCCTGCAGCTCAGAGTCCTGTGGTTATGAAAGTCATTTGAACATCCATGTTGTACGGTGTGAAGACCGGTGGATTGTACAGTGTTGCCTCGTGGACATGTGAGAATTCTAATGAGCTTGATCAAGGCCTTCTGGTGTTTTTCCACATACCTCTATAAACTGTAGTACAAAAGTAATACATACCACACACCCTGTCCTTGACTGTACATCAATCAGTTTATAATGCGCTGCATATGTGAGGATAACCTTTGCCCCGACGACCAGCTTTGACAAGACAAATGACTTTGAAGTTAACTTGGCCTCTCTGATGTCACAGGTTTTACCAAAAAAATAAATAAAATGTATAACGTTCAAAATTAGCTCCTTTTGATTCACACTTGTTTTGTGGAAATACATTTTATAGTATGTACAGTAAATAAATTAAAACAAAACACAGACTGTGTTGTGGGCTGTTGATAAACAGCCTGTATAATTAATGAAAATCTGAGCAGAAGGATTTCGAGTGAACAAACTGTTTTAAAGCACAACATTGCGACAAATGCAACAGCATGTAAATGACCACATCCTCTCCACTAAAGGAGTGGAATGGAGTTATTTTACATTGTCCCACCAATACACAGTCCTGGTTTGTGGTTTATCTCAAACAGATGGTCTCTCTGTGTGGGGTTTCAGGAGGATTTTTTTCAGGCTGTTCTGTTATAAATGACTCTCACTTGTAAATGTGTGATTGACTGGCAGTCTATTAAGGGTGTACCGTACATTTACCCTGATGTCACGTTGAAAAAATCTTACACATGAAACCATGCAAAGAAATTAATTTGCCTTCTGTTTTTTTAACTTCACATATTTAAGACTATAATTCTCAGAAACATTTATAAAGAGTTATAACAGGTTCGCATAGAGGATTAGAGGGTGAATGAACTCACTGCCAGTACATCATCCACCTACTCTACGACGATGTTGCCAGTGAATGTTTATCTAAACACCAGCAACCAGTGTGTGAGTGTTGGTGATGGTTCGTCTCTCTGTGCTCCACCGGTGAACTCTTCAGGGTTCTTGCCCAGTGACTGAGGGATGGTTCCCGCCCCCCACCCCTCCTACCTGCTCACTTGAAATTCTAAGAAGAAAATAATTGGTAGAAGAATCGTAAGCATCGTCACTAACCATGTCCATGACAGCAGGTCTTGCTACCATGGTGTTAGCTAATACTGTCAATATTGTGGCCTTTCTCACAGTCACCTTTTACATTCATCTCCATCCACTGTAGAAAGACTTTTTATGAATTTCACTGAATATAAATGATTCTCACCGAATCTATGACAGTCATATGAGAAGGTCGACGCTTGTTACTTATGCAAACCTACTGATGCTTTTGGTCATGTTAGCAGAAAATAATTGATACAACGTAGTTTTAAAGTCAACCTCCAGTCAAAACACACTGTGACGAATGACTTACTGTCAGCAGCAGAGGACGGCTCTCTTTGACGGCGCCCACGCAGCCCAGACAGCCGATTACCATTATGATGGTCCCAACGGCGATGAGCAGATTGGCTGCTGAGAGGGAGGGCAGGGATGATGATAGGGTGGCAAAGCTTCCCTGGGTCACTGAGAGCCAGACCCCCACCCCCAGTATACCACATCCTCCCAGCTGCAATGGAAAAAAGAGAGAGGCGTAGAGCTGTCAGCCTAATAACAAGGTCAAACAGAACACAAACACTGATAAATAATGGAGGAAAAACCTGCAAATGCTGTGTATTTTTTCTTATTCTGTTTTTTTTAAAGATATTTTATCTACATGCTCTTGGTAGTAGAAGTCTGTTAACCTATAGATTAGAACAATATAGTCTGATATATTTCTCGTGTTTCTTCTCTGGTGTCTAAAGTTTGTTTTCATCTTAAAGTCACCTCTTTGTAAGCAGTTTGGTTCATAATCCTGATGAATCATCAACAGTCACGCAGAATCATTGGACACGCGATACAAGTTCATAATCCTGATGAATCATCAACACGCAGAATCATTGGACACGCGATACACTTTCTTACACTTACGGCCCTTCACACTTCAATTTCAGCGTGACGCTGTGTATAGTTTATAGTAAAAAAAAAAGAGTTTTTTGTTAGACACAGTGTTGTTTTTTGGCAGATTTCCAGCAACTAAAATGACTCCACCATTTAATAGGATGAATAGTAAAATTAGTCTGTATCCGCTCCATTAATTAGATTAGCTTTTTTATGTTACAGTAAGCTGGAGACAATGTATATCAGACTCATTAAGCTGCTCTGGGAGAAAAGCTACTCACACTGCAGTCCAAAAAACCAGCAGACCGTTCAATTTATGTTTTTTTATTTTACATAAACAACAACATCCAACAACGTTTTAACTAAAAGTGTTCCAGGGTCAAAAGACATTTTCACATGCAATGTCCATAGAGAAACCTGCAGTCACTTTAAAAAGTCCAAAGGCATTTAGGCTAACATAGATAAATACACACACGATTATTATTATTATTCACACACACAAACATGTCTTCTGTCTATTTCTAGCTTCAACACAGGGTTTTATTTAATGAGCTCTGCAGCAAGAAGTAGGACAAGACAAAAATAAAAAAATAGCATTCATTTGGGGCATCGTTCACTTAGGCAACTGGGAGATTTAGCTGCCTGGGTCAGTGCCGCTCACAACAGACCATAATAATGCCCCGCAGTGAGTTCTCTAATGAAGACCAGCTTCAGTGATAAAGGTTGAAGGATGAAAGGGGAATCAAGACAATAAGAGGGGGGAGGGGCTGTGAGTGTGGAGACACAGTGTATATCCTCCACACATCTCTGTCCAACCTTTAAATTCAATGATCCCACATTCTAATTAACTGTACAGCAAATTCAAACTTATTAATACAGTTCCACAGTTGATTGTTAAATCGTGACATTTGGAACAAAGATCCACATTCTGTTCCCCAGCTTTAAGACCATGTACATAAAATTCCTAAATATGCAATTTATTTTTTACTGGACGTATAAAACAACATGCTGGTCTTCTCTGAAACCCAGGCCAGAGACTCTGCCTCCTGGGACGTAGATCCAGGAACATCCAGTCATAGTGGCTGATGAATCATGGTGACTCACAAGGCTTTTTTTTTAGGTAAAGATGACATCATCACAAGGTTTACTGACATCTCTAACAAATCTTCTTCTTTTGGTGGCAACTGCAGGTTTGTTCGTTTGGTTGGTTGGTTGGTTGGTTGGTTGGTTGGTTGGTTGGTTGGTTGGTTTATAAGGACTGCTCTGTTGTAGGGAGTGTTTGGTTGCTCTAAGAGGCAGTTTAAATGTAATTGAAATGTGATTAACCTGTGATAACTGATAACTGACTCACATTTTGCTGTGACAAACCCCTGAAAACAGATTGACTAAAAAATAATCCTTCTTTATTTCTGGGCACCTTTTCCCCTAACTCTATTATATTGATGCAATACCTTGTGTTATAAAATCGTTGCTAGGTTACAGAAACAAAATGAATTTCCTGAGAATTATTTTTTTTTACATTTTTTAATGAATTTCCCTAAAGGAAGTAATAAAATATTTTTTTCTTGTGCAGCCTCCAGTTTTCTGTGTGGGTTAGGATCATTTTAGTTTGTTTTTGTGAATGTTATTTTTGATAACATAATGACTAAAGCCCTTGTAATCCTGTAATAATATTTCATAAAGGCTGTATTGTTACTGTATGGCAAACTCTTAGTTATAAAGACAGTATTGAGTCAACTCCACCAACAGTGTTTCTCGGGTAAAAATGGTTCTGTTTTAATCTCAGCATACCTCATACTGTTGTTAAAATTGGAAATTAAAAAAATAATACTTGTAGATATCAGCTCGATTTAAAGTTCTGCAAAAACAGATTTACTCCATGTTTGAACTTTTGAAGTGTTTCATTCAGACAATTTCCATGTTTTCTGTAGGGTTTTAATCTCAGATCAGACAGCGACAGCTTCACGTTCAGTGGAACATCGATGTTTGAAATGTGTGTCTGCTATCAGCAGTGTAAATCTTTACCATCAGAGTTCACTTCACCTGTCAGTGTTTAGAACTGTCTCACAGCAGGTCTGTGAATATGCAGCTGAGCTTGTGATAATGGCTGCTGATGGAGGTTTTTCTTTTATTAACATCCCTCCATAAACTTGAAAATAAACTTCCTTAGGCTGATATCAGACACGTCGGATAAAGGTTTGCAGAGTGGAGAAATATCTCAGCTCATAAACAAAGATCGCCAGATGAATTATCCCACAAAAAAAAAACATTTTCCAGTCTGTGAATATTTAAGCTCTGATCTCACTTAAATTAACCCCCCCTCACGTGGAGCAGTAAAGCATATCATATAACTTCATTAGTAAGCGATAGGTTATAAATAGGCTAGAAAAATATGCACTGTTTCATCAGTAAGAAATGATTTCAGTTCAAATCAACACCATCATGAATACATTTCTCTGGTGATATTTCAACCAAGTATTCAGTACATCTTTCAACACCGCTCCTTACATAAGCTGTTAAGGTATAAGTCGAAGCTCTATTTAAACAGCCACTACGTGTGTGTGCGTGTGTGTGTGACACAGTTTTATATACTGCATTAAATTAAGTGATGAGAAAGACCTGGATAAACAGTTACTGAGTGTGGCGTTCTCTGTATATCGAGCCTGTGAGAAGTGACACATCACTGCTGACTGACCATCCATGACCTGTGATGAAGGTCGTCCTCAAAGACATGTTGGTCCCTGCAAAAAAACTTAATTGCTTTCCTTTGCATTGTTGATCTGTTTTCCTGTGGTAATTAACAGCCTTATGGGACGGAGACGGAAACTTTCCTGAGAACGTTCACAGCCAGGAGGCACGATTTTTCACAGACCAGCTGTGCGTCACAATAGGATAAATTATTATTTAAAAAAAAAAAGGTTCACCGTGAAGTCAGCGGATTATCCTAATTTAACTGAGTCTCACACGAAGCAGCCGTGTTTATAAGAAACATTTTAGAAGTACCTGTAAATGAAGTAACTACAAAAACAGCTAAATGTTTTTTAAATTGACACCATGAATATATTTTTTTTTTCACAAAGTTAGAGCTTGTTATATTTATTAAGTTAAAACTATCTGATGATACAAAATAGAAAAAGGCAAACAGACAGAAATAGATTGTAAAATAAATTCAGGAAACAAAAAACTTTCACACCTACAAAAGACAGAGCAGATTTTTTTGTACGTAGATGGAACTGTGTGACATTTTACTTTAAGCAAAACAAGAACATTTTCTTTTCTCATTTATATTTTATTTATAGAACATAAGCATGTGTACAGTATGTGTATATATCACTGTAGTTTATGTATGTGTTTTGTATTTGTATGTTTTTTTCTCCAAAGATACAAGATTATCCTCTTTCTAATTGCTAGTTAATTTATAGTTATTTGTACAATGTATATGTTTAAAACTAAATGAAAATTGGAAAACACTTCATGGACAGATACAGCATGATGGTCTATAAGTATTTTGGGTACTGACACAAGGCCTATACTCTTGTCTCGGGGGAGTATTACAGTACAAAGTGATGGATCAATGTGGTGATCGTTCAATTACAGACTATAATTTAAAAGCAAGGTCTTTAAAACCATATTCTCTGTAGCAGTGTCGATGGTTTAAAGACTCTTGGTTTTTACCTTTCTGTTTTATCACCATCCGGATGTTTCTGTGAGCCTTTAAAGATTTATAAACTAATCTGATGGGTGGACACATAACTGGCTGGATAAAGGATTATCTCAGTAAGGCGCTGCGTGGTTTGGGAGTAAACTGCGTATCTTTATTTCTTCCAACAGCATCGTCCCCGGAGGCTCTGCATGTTTCCTCCTGTAATAACTTACACAGCAACTGTCCATACCATAGGCTGACTCTGCTGCTTCTACTGCAGGTAGACAGAGAATTCACACTGATATACAGGATTTCAGCTGCCGGGTTCATATCTTAGTACAATCAAGATATTTTTTATTCTTAATCAATTTGTTAGGATGAATCAAAGCTTCAAAATGACCAATATCCTCATTCATATTGTAATAATATAATAATGTTATCTGATCTCTGATAGTAAAGTCTAGGCAATTAAAACATTTCTGGATTTCAGACAATTTCTTGGCAGATTTTTACTCAGAGGTGTTATTGCTGCGAGCTAATTAAATCCCATTTTGTCGCCAACTCATTGGTTTTTAGCTGATTCTTTCACACCTGTTTTTCCCATTATAAAAGTGTTTCCAAGTCACCAGTGTTACATATATATATCAAACTATAGTTTGTTTAGTGCACATAGAAACTCCTCCAAACCCTGGGCTTCTGGCAGTTTCCAAATTGGGAATTTACAGAACAAAACATCCCACTCTTGATGCTTGGAGGAGCACAACCATCAAAACTTCCCTGCAGCATTTTCATCTCGCCTGTTTCTAAGAGCTACTGAGCTGGAAGCTGCGTGAACAAATACACAGCCCCATGTAGCTTTTTTTGCCACTTAAATCACTGTCACCGGCACCAGATGTAGCCAATTAGCTGTTATCACGTGGAAGTGATCATTGAAACCCTTGCAAATGTGTATTAGGGTCTCCGATTGCTCTTGTAACTGTAGAATC